TTACATAAATTAATTTTAATGCTTAAATGATAAAGTAAATATTTATATATGTCTTCACTTGAGGGAGAGAGGGAGGGAGGGAGAGAGAGATTGTTATATATATATATATATATATATATATATATATATATATATGCTACCTGGATTTTACTAAAAACAAAATAATTTCCACGCTTGAGGATGACTGAATGTACAGTTGAGAGTACTTGCAGATTAAAAAAGTTCTTATACAGCTTGTAGTTATTAAAGACAAAGATCATAACATTCATTGAGTGGTTCATAGGTTATTGCAACTTTAAAATTCTGTTTGCGAAAGGATTTCGCAATTTTATATCATTAAATTTACTAATCTTTTTGTGTGAATGATTCATTGTAATATATATAATTATTTATTCAAAAATTATAACATAAATATATTATAAAATCACTACAAAAATAGCCATTTTGTTTCAAACCTTTCTGGTGTCTTATCAACATCATCATTTGATAAGACACCAGGGGTGTTGAAACAAAATGGCTATTTTTGTAGTGATTTTATAACATATTTATGTTATAATTTTCAAATAAATAATTGTATTTATTCCGTATACACTAATCCTATACTTTGTTATATATATATATAATATAGTTTCTATTTTCTAATTCTTTCATACACTTTAACCCCTAGTGTCTTTACTGTCTTGCTTGGGGTAAATTCATTTAAAAAATTAATAATGGCAATACTATGCTAGATCATCCACAGTTAATTTTCATCCAGGTTCTTAAGTTTCCTCATTCTTCTATTATCACATTGTGGTAAGTTTAATAAGAAAAATAATGGAAACATAAACAAGAAAAAAAAAAAATCTAAATGGAAATTGCTCAATTATATACCACTAACATATATTAAATTTATTAAAAAATTTTCTTTAATTCTCAGCATCTCTTTCCTTCATATATATTCAAAAGGAATGGCAACAGTGCTGGGACGATAAGCCACAGAATAAGCTCTTTGCAATGGAATGGAAGTCAGCTTTCAGAAAATCTCAAAGGAAGTAGTAGTATTGGCCCAGTTACGCATTGGCCACATGAGAATAACCTGCTCGTACTTGCTAAACAGCAAAGATCAACCAGTATGCCAAGCATGTTAAACAGCATACACTATTAAACACATATTAACCGAGTGTCCAGGCCTTGCTCTCTCAAATGCTATAGTATAAACAACATGTATGAGATCTTCGAGAAAGCAAATGTGGATGACATAATATTATTTGTTAAGAGTGGGCTTCTACCAAAACATATAAACCAAATGAGAAACTCAATAAAATCACTTTGTCTACAAACTGTATAACCAAAAAGAATACATCAATGAAACCAGACTCTTTACAAAAATACGTCAATGAAACCTGATTTACAAACTGATATCTTACAAAGAATACATATTCTATTCATACAAATCTATTGTAAAAATCTTGTCGGCATTAAATGACCCATTGAGGTTGATATGCCATAAAGCAAACCAAACCTTTCATATGCACATCAACATAAACATAAATTTTATTCTGAAGTTCTAAAGGACAAAACACGTTACACAGACTTTTTCCACTTTGTCATACTTTTTTTTCTCTTAAAATTTTTCTTGGTTATATAATAAAAATGTATATAGTGTTTTCACACACACACACACACACACACACACACACACACACACACAGAGGGGGGGTACTGAAGAATTTTGGGCTCAATTAAAAAGCCTTAAAAAAAACCCAACAATCTGATACTTGGGAAGTGGGTCAAACTGAGAGTTTTTCAGTATCTCTTTTTATATTTGTAATGTTGCGTAACTTTTGTACTCATGATCTAGTGATGCCAGGTGACTGTTTTTGTTATAACAATGGAGGGCTATACAAAAATGTTTACAATAAAGTCAATCCATAAAAAGGCAAGCTTTGTGAATGGGTGGAATACAGAAATGATTGAGCAGTAGGAGTCATATTTAAAGACTCCTGGGAAAACCTGTATGGACTTATTTTTTGATGGTATAATTAAACTAGTTTCTTAATGACTATTATTACACATTTAATTATAAATTTTCAACCTGATTATGCTTAGAGAAACAATCTATATTAGTGTGATATATTCATGTCTTATAATAAAATTTATACATTTTAGAGAATTCTGTTCACATTATATAAAAATATCAATATTTTAATTATTAAAAAATTATCAACCAATTTTTTTTTTTTTTTTTTTTAAATTGGCATATGACAATTCATTCAGTGTTGTTCAAATCTTAGAAGTGAAATTTTATTGAGTTTTATTATTAAACACACTAAAGTGTGTAAAATTATAAACCTCAAGACAATGAAAACATTTTAAAAATAGCATATTTAAAATTTATTACATTCTTTTGAAGTCTATAATAATTCCTCTTTGTTGCTGTTTAAAATTGTGTACTTTTTACAAAAATATCTCTTTTTCTACAAACTTATCTATAACAATATTAAATTTAAATAGAAATCTGTTCAAGTCCCTTAATCCCTGTCTTGGTGTGTGGTCTTTCTAAATTAAAAACAAGTCTTGTAAGATAAATCTATATTTTTTTTACCTTGACAAAAAATAACACCAAAACTACATTTCTAATAAATTTTAATGATTATTTTATTTAAAAGAAAGAAACAAAAAACTAATAATAGATGTTTTATAGATCTCTTTTTTTTTTTTCAAGTAGACTTTTTTTTTTTTTAAACCAAAAATAAATGGAGGTGGACAGCCTAAAATTAAGTTGACAGTAGTCAAATTTCTCTTGTGCCTGCTGACTTGCCCCATTGTTATTGGGACAGGCTTTCTTAAAGGGGGAGTAAAATAGTGAAGCGTAGAAAGAAGTATGAACTACAAATTGTCCCTGGATGAAGCCATTGATTTTTGCTAATCATTCTATGTTGGTGGCCATGCAATAGACAATGGATGATACCAGATTTGTGACAATAACCAACAATTAAATCCTTGTGTATTCATTATTATTATTATTATTTATTTCACACTTTAATATTTAGTTATTCTGTTATCTAAAAATACCTGTTATTATTCACAGGAATAGACCTTTTTTTATTTTATTTATTTTTTAGCTTCTAATTTTTATGTCATCAGAAATACTTATATATTATCTTAAACAGTCATCTCTTTAAGTAGACATTCTCTTCACATTAGGATAAGTAAAAACTATTACTACTACTACTACAACTAATCATGATAATGCAGTGGTTGTTATTGATAATGGTAACCATCTAGTTTGCTCTTTGACCTTATGACTCACAATTTCCTATTTGACAGATCTTTTCTTCTATGATGCCATCCCATTCAAGGATGATTTCCAGCATCCCTGTCTCGACTGCTGTGAGAGGCTGGCCAGTCTATTCCCAGGATATTTTGAGATTGACACCCATATTTGTGTACAGTAGACTGCTACTGTGTTAGTGAGAGGTAGAGTCGACCAGTGACTTTTCAGACATGTTATTTATCTGATACTAAACGGATTGTCTTCCCTCAAAGGTTCCAAGATGTTGCATTGGTATGTGTTTTGAGTAACTTCATTTTATATTATTTTTTTTTTTTTATATATATATATATATATATATTTCTGTTTACTAATTTACTGTTCATAGCATGTGTTATTTGGCAGTATCTAAAACATACTGGTGAAAGAACACAATCTAAATTTAGTAATAAATATGTTAGAAAAATAAAATTGAGTTTTTTGCGGGGGGGGGTTCAAGCTTACTCTTACCCCTAATGAAGGGAATTCACAGATCCCAAATAGATAGGACAAAAGGAGTGTGTGTGTGTGTGTTGTTGTTTGTGTGTTTTTTTTTTTTGTTTTTTTAGACAGATTTTCAGAAGAGACAATGGCAACTATAAAAACTTGGGTTATAAGAATAAAGTTTTACAATTTTATACTCACATAAAAAGCCAAACTTTTTTATTAATTTCTGTTTAATATCTTCTATCTCGTTTTAATTGTTTTAAGAAAATTCTGTAATATCTATGCAGACCTTCCAAAAGAAACTTTTTTAGTGTGTACTGGAAATGTGAGATTGGCCATTTTCATTCAGGAAACATTAGGCATTCATTCAGTTACTCTTACTGTCGGTTGAAATTTATTAAATATTTCTCTTAAAACAGCTATTCAGAAAAATAGTCTTCTCGCGTCCACTGTTATCACTTTTTCTAGTATTGCTGGGAAGGTGGGGGTTTTCCTAACCTTTTGTTTTGGCCGTGTGGAATATATTTTTCTTTTTCTAACCTTTTGCTTAAGGTAGTGTAGAAAGTCAACATCTTGATTATATCATTATTTTCCATTCAACTTAAATGTGCTACTCATTTTGGCAAACTTGAACCTTTGTGCCTGCAAAAAAAAATGGTGTCAAAAGGATGGTTTTCCCTTTACACCACTATTATTTTAACTACCTTCACTCCTCAGCAATGTTTAAAAAGTGATGATTAGAATTATAGTAAAACCTAAACATTTGAAAGTGAATTTATATTATTTATTTATTAGATTGTTTACACTACTTATTATATTGTTTATTAGAATGGTTGTCAAAACATCAGCTAATTGCCAATTGATTCAAAGTTTATAAAATGGTAAAGAAGGATTTCCTTATAATTGGTTCATGTTTTAATAATTTAGTAAATGTTTTATGAATTTATGAATAAAAAATTGTTTTCATATTTATTTCTTTGAGTTGGTAAATGATAAATATTGCATTGCATTAGTTTTAATACAAACATAATAGAGTTTAGAATGTTGTAAATATAAAATTATTCTTGTAAATAAACAGTCTAATAGTGTTTAAAATTTTTGTTGTAAATTCTCAAGAACAAAGAAAATGTATAAGTTCACTTTTATATCTTTATTTTATTAAAATTCTAATCGCTTTTTAAAACAATCACTTCTGAGGGAATGAAAGTGATTAAAATAATAGCAGTGTCAAAGGAAAACCCGTCCTTTTGACACTATTTTTTCAGGGCACAAAGGTCAAAGTTTTTCCCTCATTTTAGTTGTTGCTGCTGTTGGAAGTCTTCCAGTATTTTGTTTTTGTTAAAGTTCTTTGTTTGTAATTCTGTAGTAACAGTCTATAATATCTGGTGAAAGTCTTTTAAAAAGTATTTTTCTCTATTTTTACTCATTACTTTCTTTTTATTTTAATTGGAAGCAATGGCTCCTTTTAAACTACATAGTAAATAAAAACTGGTAAAATTAATGAGCCATTAAAGGAATATTTTTCAACCATTTTTTTAAATCTCAAAGGACACTTGAAAGTATAGTTAAATTTCTGCAGCACACTTAAATTATGATGATTAATAGAGAGTTTACTTTTTTATGATTCATTTCAGAAATATAGAAAAACAAATAACAAAGAATCTTAACCAAACTTGTACAAATGAAAAATGAAATACATATATAGCACAAGAAAGAGTATGAAAAGCAATCATTATACCTGATTTTTCGGTCATAAACTGGTAGATACTTTAAGAATAGTAGGTTTTTTTTTTATTTTGCCATTTATCTGTCATCTATCCTAATATTTTTCAACCTTTTTTTTTTTTTTTAATCTCACAGCACACTTGAACCTATAGTTAAAACTTATGCAATGCACTTAAGTTATGATCAAGAAAGAGTAAAGAAAAGTATAGTATCTCTGATTTATTTATTAACACAAACAAAACAATTTATTATAATTGTAATAAAAAATAATTAAAATTCTCAAACTTATTTATTTTTTTATTATAATTTAACATTTAATGAGATATCTGAGCTTCAGGTTTTTTAGAATATCTTTGCAAGGTTGAATTTTGAACAGGCATAGTCTTAAATCTTTTTCCAAGGATTGTAGCTGTGATTGATTTTTGTTTTTAATATTGTTAGTTGCAGAAAATCTTGCTTCACACAAATAACATGTTGAGAAGAGAAGTATTTCCATTGCTTTTTTTATAATATTTAACCCATATAACCCCCACCCAATTTATATATTATGTATACATTTATTTATTATAACAATGATGTACTCATATAATGGATTTAAAGGGGTTTTAATTTTGGTATGCACCCTCCCCCCAGATTGAAGATCACTGCATTAAGATATTAAAATTAATTAAACTCTTTAATAATTAATCTTTCATTCATATAAAATACTTTAGTAACTGTTCCTATAATTAACATTTTGAATGTAACTAAATTCCACTAAACTTTCAAATATATTGTAGAAGTAAAATTTACATGTAAAATGTGACTTATTTAAAATTTTGATAATGTCATTTGTGGAGTGGATCTCAGGAATTTATATTTAAATTTTAAAATAACTTTAAAAATGTTTGCTTGCAATAGATCGGTCATGTAACCCAAGACACTAAACATCTGTCATTGGTATTAAAATTTGTCTATATTTGGTACTAATACCTCTGACTTTGAAAATATATTATCAAGTATTATGAAGCAGAAAATATAATCGCTTTATAGTATAGACTTGTTGAAGGATTTTGTCTTGTATACTCTATAAAAATTAGTTATTTGAAAGTTACAATATTAAATTCGTTTCTGAAATTCTTCATTATCCAGAACTATATGCTTACAGTCAAATTCCACTGAAAACACTGGTTCTTGTTCAATCACTGCAGTTAAGCAGTGTCAAGCCTGGTCAATATTTAAATGGGGAAACGCAGAGTTCTGTAAGCAACCTCCTACAAGCTGAAATATGCTTCAGCTTTAAATAACCTACAAAGGGTTGATAAGTCATAAAAAAATCCCAAACCAATCAATCAGAACTCTCTAAGATTTGGCCTGTCTTTGCTGCACCTCTTATAGAAAGATAGCATATTGTATATCCCTGTATTTGGTTTTGTTAGAAAGTAGATTGGTCTGCAGCAATACATTAGGTTGTCTCATTATTTGATAACAGGGAATGGGATAATTTACTTGTCAGATTGTGTGGTAGTAAACAGAAGAGAGTAAATGATTAGATTTGGCAGAAGCATAATATTTGACTAGCAGACAACTCATGATTAACAATTATACAGGGTGTCCATAAAGTTCGTGTGCACTTTAAAAAATTTATAACTTTATTTGTATTTGTGATGGAAATAATCTGTAAAAAATGTTATAAAGTTTAATGTACCTAGTTTTAAGTATAGCTAAAATAACTGATTTCAGGCATTACTGTAAATCAGTTGGCAAATGTTTTCCATGAACTTCAAAATCGTATTACCCTTTGTATTGCTAATGATGGGGGAGATGTGGAAACTTAAATAAAATTTCAATAAAACCTTAAAAAATATAGATTTACTTCTTTCTAATCCTTTTTACAAATTATTTCTATTGCAAATACAAATAAAGTTACAAATTTTTTAAAGTTCACACGAACTTTATGGACACCCTGTATTAAATTCTTGATACACTTTTCAATAAAAATTCTAACCATTTGGCATGCTTGAAATATGTTGCTCCTAATTCAGAAAGTATGATTTTATTACCATTTTGACTGGTAATAAAATCATACTTTAGCCTTATAACATCAATTACAAATTTTCTTTTGCTAAAAAAAAAAAAAAAAAAAAAAAAAAAAAATTACTTTTGCCTTGTGAAGACATTCTGCCATACCCAACATCTTAGTGCTTTTTGAGAACAGATGTACTCTTGCAATCAAATTACCATGTTTCCTGCCATATAAGACACGCCTATAATTTGACAGTGTGTATTTAAAAAATGATAAAATAAAACCCCCCACATTTTCCATGAACTTTGTAATCCTCACCCCAATAAAAACCTTGTAACTAGATAGTCTTCTACTGAACTATTTAAGCAAACTTTGCAATAAACTGTATCCATATTGATGTGTCTCAGCACCTTTTAGATAACTTGTTTTTGCTTTGCTTGTTTTGAGTTTATAGACTCATATATATGACAGAACTGTCAAATTGAAACAGACCAAAGCAATACCTATAACTTACAGATATCGCTTAGGTACAGACCCCTTTTATCGATCAATCATAAATGTCATTTGTCTAAAAACTGGCTTCACTGAAACCGTTAAATCAACTCTTTGTTTCATTGAATGGCTCATTTCACTGAAAAATCAAATGATAGAAAATTAAAGGGAGATAACTTTTATATCTGAATAGTGCTTTTATTTTTTATTTTTAAATTATGTATCATTCTAAAATTTTGTTTATTTACAACAGTGGTTCTCAACCTATTTTTTGCCTATGGACCACTTTTACTCTTTATTTATTTTGGGGTGGGTGGGGGCCTTCCCCCTAATCAGTTGATGGAAAAAAAAAAAAAAAAAAGCTTATTTTTTACAAATAGATAAATTTAGGAATTGTATTATAGTAAATATATGTGCTTTATTTTGAAGTAAAACTATTTTAATGAAAACTTGTATTTAACAACTGAATTCTATAGAACATTTATGTACACTAGTAAAATAACTCATAACATATGTTAAAATATGTGTGTAATTAATAAATTTAAAAAAAAGTGCAGATTTATTCGATGAGACCTCTGCAAGTTTATTTTTTAAATTCGGCTCCATCGATGTCAATGATAGTTGAAGACATCCCTTTTCACAATGACTTTTTGTATGGACCCCAGTGATTTTACACAGACCCCCCCACCTCCCCAGGGTCTACATTAACCTTTATTTGAGAACCACTGATGGGTATTAACGAATACCTTTTCCTCCATAAATTCATCACTGGTAATAATGTTGTTTAATATTTTCTTTTTTTTTCTGTGAATATTTAAAAATGAGTAAAAAAAAAAAAAAAAAAAAAAATGGGAAACAAACCCTGTAAATATTTGTCATATCCAAAATACACTTGTAAGTAAATTAAATATTTAAAATAAAAAATCTTCAGTATTAATTCATATTACTCTTTATTTAGTTTAATATTTATGTTTTAATAATTATTTTTTTTTATTTATACTTTCTTTTTGTTGCCCGAAAAAAAAGACAAGAATTAATTTTTTGGCTTTAACCGATTTCAGCATTAAATAATCTTCTTAAAACAAACTGACTTGTCAATCATTCGTTACCATAAATAAACAACAATCAAATTAACGAGCATAATTTTTAAACAATACAAAATTAAGAAACGCCCCATTCACATATTACAGTTATTGCCCTTTAATTTTCTGTGTTCAAATATTTCAGTGACGTGAAGCTTCAATCTAACAGTTTTGGTGATACCAGTTTTGGAGCAAATGATATTCGCTGTTATGACCCACCTTTTATAACCTGAGTATTTTATACTGACATTTGAATTATTTCTAATACTTTTTTCTGATGTTACAACCTGTGACTTAAATGGTCCAATGGTTAGCAGTGCAGTGTAGGTCTACATGGACTGACAGCAATCCTTGTATATTGCATAATGCCAAGCAATGGTTGGCTACTAGTTGTTTTCCAAGCACACCTGTTTGCCAGAATGTCTAGACAACCCTATTACAGACACCTGCTCATTGCACTAAGCTAACCTGTAGTTTATACTGCAACTATGCTGAGTGGACATTAGTTACAATTTCTGGGAGAAAGTGCATAATCTACCATGATAATTTTTTTTTTGAATAAAGCCAGTATACACAAACCCTCAGTCATGATGACTTATGTGCTTGCACAACCATTAACGGATTCCATCTGGTTTCATCTATCTAATTTAATTCACAAGACTTTGGTCATCCAATGGTGTAGTTTTCAGTCACTTTCAAAAGGTGCCACACGCCCATTGTCAGGCAACAGAATAACAATAATAGTCATATGCATTTTGTCTAAATTTTTGTCTTAATATTTAACTGATGATTTGTTCATACTTTTTATTTTTTTAAAAATACATTATTTTGTCTTGTAACTATATTTTAATCAATTGTAATAATGTAAAATTTTTTGTGTGTCAAAGGTTTTAGTCTAGTTCTTGAAAGCCTACCCAGACTCGCCCATTGAAGAAATATGGTGCTTGTCTTGAGAGATAATGACTAATTTTTTTCAAATATTTACTCAAAAACTTTGGTTTTCTATATAACCTAGAATGGTAATTTTTTAAAACTGTATTTTTTAACCTTCTTTTGAATAGTATTGCTTTTAAGTTTAATTAAATTTAACCTCTATTTACTCTTCAGCATTCAACTTGCCCTGTAAATATCGGCTCTCAATGTTCAACCTGCTGTAACCCAGCCTATTTATACTCTGCCATAATATATGACAACATCATCAAAAATAATGCAGGAAGTTATGAAAACAGTGAGACTTTGACCACAAGCACTGACGTTTTGAGAGCCGGTATTTACGGGGGTTGGTTTGAGTGTTGAAACAGTTAAAACTGAAGGCAAAAAAAAACTGAGGTTTGTTTATATATTGTGTTTTTGGTTCTCTAAAAAATTTTAGTATTATTTTGCTTACTTTATTGATTCTGGTATTTTCCTACAAGTTTTATTTAACGATACAATTTTGAATTATTTGCATTATTGTTAATTCAACGTTAATATACTCATCTCTGTTGCTATGGTCACAAATTGGCTATTGTGTTCTCTAGCCTTCTTCAGATGTCTGTCAATCCGAGTAACTGTGAAGGAATTTCAAAATTATTTAATCAGTGGTAGTAAATTGTTTTCACTTCACTGTTCAGGTCTGGGGATATTCCTAGTAAATTTAATAATTGGTTCAGTTTGAAATTTCCTGAAGATTACCAGAGTCGACAGAAACCTGAAGAAGGCTGTAGGGCCAAATAGCTGAAACATTCTGATAAGAGAATATTAGTCAAAGTGTAAATAACACCTCATTTCAGAAATTCAGACAAAAATGATTTTGCATTACCCTTAAAAATACTGAGTTTTTTTGTCATTGATTATATCCAAGGGAGTACTGAAAAAGTTCTTAGCTCAATCAAGAAGGGATTCTTTCCTATCAATTCTGATGTTTGGTTATTTGGCCAGATTTAGGTAAAGATGAGTCAAGGCAAGAATTTTTCATCATCCCCTGTGTGTGTGTGTGTGTGTGTGTGTGTACGTACGTATTTGCACTATTTTCTATGTAACTGTGTTTTGTTTTGTTTTTAACATCTCTAAACTTAATTTTCAGAGTCAATTTTAATTTTGTATCTGTGGTTCCTATCACTTTAAGGACACTTCTGATTTAATAAATTTATCTTTCTTTGCTAATCCAGTTATGCTCGTGTATTGGCTCGTTATCCATACTTGATAGTTGGTGCTGTCTTGGTTGTAACAATCACATGTCTGGGTGTTTCAATATTCAAGAGTGAAGGCTTTCATTTTGAACGACCAAGAGCTGTAAGTATACCTTTCCCAAACCTTAAAAGCCAATATTATATTAGACCATGCTATCTAAATGTTGTAAAAGCACTCATTGTAACTTGCCTTCTAATTTGCCAAATCAAGTCAATTGTATAAGTGGTGTCTTGCTAAAAGCATTGCTCTTCTTTTCTGTTCAGTTTGAACAATAAATTCTTTCTTAGTTTTACATTTTTTACTAATGTTGTTATATGATGGAACTCTGTACAAAATAGCAAGTTCTTGGCAACACTTGAAACTATATTGCTAGTTTATTTCTCATGAGATAAAGTGTATATTTAAAGTCTTAATACAGTATACTAGGTACCGACACTAATTTGTGATACCTCAGGTTTAAAGTGAATATTTAAAAATAAAAAGGCTTTTTTGAAGCTTCATTTTAGCTTAAATTGAAAGCTAAAGGATTAAATTTACTATTTCCAGTGAGTACACTAATAACAAAAATAAAAAATGGGGTGTCAAAAGAATGTTTTTTTTTTTTTTTCATTGACACTGTTATTATTTTCACTACCTTCGCTCCTCAGTAATGTTTATTGTTTTGAAAAGCAATTAGAATTTTAATAAAACCTAAGCATGAAATGGAATTTATACATTTTCTTTGTTCTTTGAGAATTGACAACAAAAATAAATACTATTTATTAGATTGTTTATTAGAATGGTTGGCTAAACATCAGTTAATTGCCAATCGATTCAAACTTTATAAAATGGTAAATAAGGATTTCCTTAATTGGTTCACATATTTTAACTATTTTGTAAATATTTATAAATTTATGAATAAAAATTGTTTTCATATTTATTTCATTATAAATCAGTAAAAGATAAATATTACATTGCATTAATCTTAATTGTATTAGTGTTTAGAATATTGTAAATACAAAATTATTCTTGTAAATAATAATAAATCTAATAAATAAATAGTTTAAAATATTTTTGTTGTAAATTCTCAAAAATAAAAGAAAATGTATAAATTCACTTTGATCACATGCTTAGGTTTGATTACAGTTCTAATCATTTCTTGTTAAAACAATAAATATTGCTCAGGAGTGAAGGTAGTTAAAATAATAGCAGTGTCAAGGGAAAATCATCCTTTTGATACTTTGTGTTTGGGGTTTTTTTTTTTTGTATGGAGCCCAAGTTTACCAGTTTTTTTTTGTAGTTGTTTTTTTTTTTTTTTTTTTATTATTATTATTATTATTAAATAGAAAAAAAATTGCCTATCCCAACCATATGTGTCACTTTGCTTGACAATAAGAATCTGATTTGCTTTTGCAGGGATTTGAGACTCGGGGCACTGAGCTGAGTGAAAAACTTGTTGCTTACAACAATCTTTTGCGCATCAGTGAAAACTCCCTGTCTTTAACGCCTTTTCCCTACCAGCACAAGACCAAGTTCCATCACAAAATCCGACATAGGAACAAAAACAGACACAGGAAAAACCGGCGCAAAAATCGAAAGCGAAAGAAGAAAAAGAATAAAAGGAAGAAACAGCGGCGCTTAAGGAATACGTTAGGAGTAAAGAAGGTTGCTTTGGGCTCTCGACATGGAAATAGGTTAAGGAAAACAGCAGCTGAAAATTACTTCTGTGATGATCTTGGTAAGTTTATCTATTGAAAATTTATAGATTTAATTTGATAGAAACTCCTTGGAGAATAAAGTCAGTTATATAAGTAAAATTAAAAAAAAAAAAAAAAAATTATATATATGAAATGCAATTTGTGCTTGCATATTGTGTGTGACACAGATATACAGAGTGGCTGCAGAAAAGTTCTCAAAATCTGATGAAACATCAGAAATTCTTTTTAATCCCTCTCCTTGGTTAGAGTGATGACATTTCAGTGCCCCTTGTAAAATGTTATTCATTTATTGGGACATTCTTCTATTTCTCCTTTTCTCTCTTCCAATCTTCTCACCTACGTTTTCTTCTTTCCCTGCCAGATTTTGGTCATAAATACAATAATTCACTGTCATTCTAACTAAAAAAAAAAACGATTATAAATCTAAGTAAGCCCTTTATATTAAGATGCTTTTAATATCTATTCTTACCTTGAAAACAAATACTAGTCAAAAGTACTCGGGTCTTAACATTTAATTTCCCACTTGAAATAAAGTTACTAATTTGACACCAGGAGAAAGTCTCCTTAAGGTTCAGTAGATTTTCTGTTCGATTTATTTTAGGACATGCAGGTAGTGTAATATTTAGTGGCTCAGAACAAGAAAAATTGGCAAGCCATGTTCAAATTCCAGATGAGTCCATTACATTCATTTTTGCACAAATACCTTTATGAAAAGTGTAAATCTCTTCTTTCCCCAGATATGGGTTAAATAACCTCCCTAGTTGTGGTTGGCAGCCATTCTAGGACAGGAACAACTCTGAAATCGAAACCATATGTAGTCCTGACAAAGCACTATACTATACAGCCATGGAAATGATTATGGAATTAGCAATGACTCTATGATCTTGTCTGCAGTCAATGAGCTAAGGAGAGTTTTATTTAACAGAATCTTTGAAAATGAAGGATTCCTGCCTAAAATCTACTTTATTTAATATATATGGTGTATTTGGGCAGCAATATTTCATTAATATGAGTTCAACAAAAGTTCTTTGTTTAATATTTAATCTTCCTTCGGTTCAGTTTTTTTTTTTTTCTGTATCAAATTTGAACATTGTTCAATGTCTTCTTAGAATTTTTGGAATGGCTTATTGAATTGACACCAAACCCTGATATGACACTTAAAATCTACCAAAGGAACACAATGCCTATCTATAGGCACAACCCCTTCTGCACAAACTATTCTTTGATAACTTCTGAAAGCATTCAGAAAAAAATTGAACAATTTAGCAAAATGACCTGAACTAGAATAGAGAGGAGGGTGGCTTAAAGAACTTTTGATTTTTATTCAGATTTCCAAACATTTGAATTTTTTTTTTTTTTTTACTCTGGTCTCTAGAAATTGCCTACTTTCTATAATGTCTTTGTGTTGGGGAATTTTTTTTACTAATATACCCAATAATTTGCCAAACCATTTTTGGGTGTAATATTCATATGAAAAGTGATGTTCTCTCACTTTTTTAATTTTTAAATTATTTTTAGAATGCTTCTGCAGAAGTCCCAAGGATGGGTTGGCTGAAACATTTGAGAACAGAAACAAATTTATGATAATGATGTTTTTCTTACAAAATGATTGAAAATATTTTGTTACAGATTTGACATCTGAATTGGAATTGGAACAATCTTGTCTATAACCAGGTTTGTTTTCATTTCAGATGAGAAATATGCTCGTGTCGTGTTCAAAAGCCTTGATGGCAGTTCGCTGTTCACTTTGAAAAACATCCAAGCCATGTGTCGACTTGAATCTAAAGTTGTGCGGTCTACGTCATTATTTACTGAACTTTGCATTGATGACAGCCGTGAATGCAGGAGTTGGTCCCTTGGAAACTATATTGGTTTGCTAAGCAACAAAACCTCTTGCACTGATCTTGAAGAGAATGACATTGCACTGGCCTTGCAAACCTTATCTCACTGTGGCCAGTTCTATCGCAACTATTCCTTGGGGGCTTACTGTGAAGAGTGTGTCAGGGTCCCCGCCGCTTGCAAACTACACAATGCAGTCTACCACATCCTTCACTACCTCACAGATGCACATTTTACAACAATCACTCCTCAGGATCAGCCTGTGCTTGCATACAGTGTATCATTCTTACCCTTTGTACAAAGTTCAGCCACGGTGAATTTATTTGAATATATCGAGGGACAAGATTTGCAAGAAGGAAATGTGGAGCTTGTTGCTGCAAACTTTGGAATCAAAGATGTTCTTTTTAAGCAGTACATATGGCTGGATAGCAAATGGCTTCTTCTCACTGCTGCATCCATTTTTCTGGCCATCTGGCTCTACTCTGCTTCCTTCTTTATCACACTCATGACGTTCCTTGCAATATTTTGGTCTCTAGAAATTGCCTACTTTCTATACGTCTTTGTGATGGGGATTTCTTTCTTTCCCTACATGAACATGGTGACTGTGATGATCATGGTCGGAATTGGGGCAGACGACACGTTTATTTACTGCAAAGTGTGGAACCTTGCCAAGACGGAAAGGAGCAATGTGACCCTGGAGAAAATTGTAGCCGAGACCTTAAAACATGCAGCTACATCTATGCTTGTGTCCAGTCTGACCACGGCAGCTGCATTCTTGGCTAACGTCATCAGTGACATTACAGCTATTCGATGTTTCAGTATTTATGTTGGAACCTCTGTCCTTTGCAACTTTCTGCTCATGATGACCTGGATGCCAGCAATGATTGTCATTTATGAAAAATCTTGCAACTGTCTTCCATGTTGTAGCTCTGATAAACAAGGCCCAGGCTCTGTGCTGTGTCGTGTGCCTAGAAATATCCATAAATCTATCTCAAATTGTTCTAGAATATTCTTTGAGAAAATTCTACCATGTCTTGTCATTAAATTCCGTTATTTTTGGCTTGTTGCATTTGGAATTTTAGGTCTGGCATCAATAGCCATTGTGTTTGTTTATCCTGGCATCAAGTTACCCACCAAGGAAAAATTCCAATACTTTTCTTCGAGTCATCTCCTTGAAGTTTATGACTTGCATTTGTGGAATCATTTTTGGTTTGAGAAAACAGAGATTGACCAAGTACCCCTTATGCCGATCACAGTTGTGTGGGGTGTCTTGGCAGAGGACACCGGTGACCCCCTTAATCCATCCGATCGTGGCACTTTGAGATTTGATAATAGTTTTCACATGGAAACCACAAAAGCCCAAGCTTGGCTTATGGACTTCTGTAGCAGATTCCGCCAGCAGCCTTTCTATCAACATGTGCCGGGTTATGAAATAGCAAATTGTTTTCTTGAAAACTATCGCAACTACATGGCTGCCCCTTGCGTTGATGACTACCAAAAAACCCAGGGTTGTTGCAACGTGTCATCTTTCCCATACAGTCCTGAAACATTCACTAGGTGCCTTGGACTGTACATTCCTGACCTGATGAACACGCCATACATTGGTTCATATTATTCCAATTATCAGCTGCCAGGACCAAGGTTCAAAGATGGTCAGATTCGTGCTTTTCTTGTAGAATTTAGCAGTGCTGTCCCCTTTACAAATGCATACGAGAAACTCCGTTCATTTTACTCTCAAGTAAACATGTGGATTAGGGACCAACTCAGTCAAGCTCCTGAGGAGATCCGAGGGGGCTGGTTTGTTAGCTATTTGCAGTTTTTTGATCTTCAGAACAGCATTCTTCACGGTCTTCCTCTTGCCCTAGGTCTGTCCGTTGCTGTTGCTGCTACTGTGATATTCTTTACGACGCTTAACTTTTTTTTAAGCCTCTATGCTGTTGTTACTGTTGCATTTACTATTCTGACGACCGTGGCTGCCCTTCTTCTGCTTGGCTGGGAGCTAAACATTTTAGAATCCGTCGTGATTACTGTCGCTATCGGTATGTCCATTGACTTCACTCTACATTATGGTGTTGCTTATCGTTTGTCTTCCGATCTGGATACCGAACTGCGTGTTGTCTGCTCCATTAGCAGGATGGGCTCAGCTATTGCTATGGCTTCTCTGACCACTTTCTTTGCTGGAGCTTTAATGTTACCAGCCACTGTCCTTGTTTACAGACAGTTTGGTCTGTTTTTAATGATTCTCATCACAACTAGTTGGCTCTATGCTACTTTCTTCTTCCAATCTCTTCTGCGTGTTTTGGGGCCATCAGGAACATTCGGACAGTTCTACTGGCCGAGCTGGTCCTGTTGTGCAAATTCTACAAGATCCAAGGACAAAGGCGGACAGTCTGTGTCTGAATCCACTCTGTCCAGCTCCACTGTCAGCAACCAGCTCCGTTCAGGTTTTGAAAATCATGAATTAGAAAGACTGACGAAATGGTCAGCCCAGGTGCCTCCTTATTCTGGTCACAGTAACCATGCAAGGCAACCCATCGTTCCCAAACAGTCCAGTAAAAAGGCAGCTTATTACAAAGAACCTTGTAGCAAATGTGCAAGTCAATCTCACAAGAAATCCATGTCAACCCGAGATAATCAACTGAAAAACCATTTCTTATTAGTAAAACAAGAAAGTAATTCTATACCTGCCAATAATTGTTCTAGTGGAGAAGAATCTGAGGTTTGGATTCGAAGAGTAGACACTTGACCAATACCAAAAATGAAGTTTTATTTTATTTCATAAAATTCTGTATAAATATTTTCTTCATCAATATTCCATACATTATAATGCCTGTTGACAAAAGCATGTTACAACATTGATTTGTCCACATTATTTAGAAACACCGATGCAATTTCTCAAGCAATTAAGGGCTGTGAAAACCTTTAAAGAGAAATGGTTTTATCTTTGTTAACTTTAATGAATTCATTAGTCTGAAGGGTTTTTCTAATTTGTGAATTTGATACAGAAACTGGAAAACGTGTATATTTTTTGTCCAAGAATGTTTTTCTGCTTTTAAAATTAGAGAAAAAAAATCCTGTCCAAATGCCATATTTTCGATATTTATTTTTTATTCTGTATAAATAAATTATTGCTTTTTTATGATTATTATTTTTTTATTTAATTTTCTTCCATTGCATCCCCAGGCCTGACCTTCAAGCTGGAATCAAAGTGTAGTATATGTTCATTTTACCTTTGGACACTTGTAAAGAGGAAAACCTATTATGGCAACACCTTCTTCAAATAGGATATAGGGGCAGGGTAATTTCTTACCCTCAGCCTGTATCTAGGCCTGATGGTCTCAGTATGATAGAAAAAGAGTGTGATTTTTATCTCAAGTGTTTTACAATCAGCAGATAAGGGTCATTTAGGTGTAACACCCAAAGACACTTGAGGACAAATGAGTTACATATAAAATTAATCAAAACAAACAAAAATGTTTTTTTTTAGGCAATTTATCATCAAAATGTCACTCCAGTTTTGGTTCATTCATTTTTGCTAAGATTTCTGTAGCGCTTAATGACTTCCTAATGTTTTCTCCAAGTTTCTTATCAGGGAAAGTAACTAAATTGAGTGCAGGGTCCTTGTTAGAGAAAGGATGCCAAACGCCTTGGATAGAAGGATTTTCTGTGTGCCATGGTTTGCGTAGCCGTTGGATTTCAACCCCAGATCTTGTCCTCATGTACTCAATCCATTTGCTGATCTCCTCTTTGCTCTGATTTTCAACACTGAATGTCACACGGTTTCCATTCACTGCAAAAAAAAAAAAAAAAACTTATTACTCCATCATAATTGTGCTTATCCCTCTCCATGTTAGTTTGCACGACTGTTGCGTCCTGCCAATACTTCATAAATAATAGACTATTCCATTTGATTGCATGGAATGAGGGCAAACGACAAAAGTGTTTAATGGTTGTTCCAATGAAATAATCCTAGGTAGAAAAAAGAAGTCAATTTGTGAATTGGACATAATATTTGAAGGTGTGGACAGGTTGAGAGAAGAATTGAAAAACTAAATGCAACTGTAAGGTCTGCCTGATAACCCAAGGGTTGTGGACAGTTTGATTGGGAGGAGAGACACCAGACCAAGCCTGGAAAATTACTGATTAAAATAAAACAGCCCCTTTGCCCACTTGGTTTAAAATTAGGATTATCAAGAAGACAGCTAAAACCTCCCCGTGGGGATGGAATGTTGAAAGAGGAAGAGAAAAGGAATAAATTTGCCTCTGCCCTGTTGAATCCGACTTGAGCCTAGTTCCAGAATTAACACCGATAGGCAAAGTGTCATGATAGAGAATTGCAGTGGGAAGGGTTAATTTTGTACACTGAAAAATTACATAAAAACCAAATCTAAGTTTCTGTTTGCATGATTTTTGCAAAAAGACATTCCTTTATTTTCATTACAACATTTGCCGAGATTTGACTAAATCAAGAAATTATCATGAAATTTATTTCTACCCAATTCTTAAAATAATAACCAGCATTCATATTTATTGATTAAGCAGAAATATTTAACAATGTGATAGGGGAATTTCTATGGAGATTTTATTGTCATAGAACTCACCATGAGTTTAATCATTAACTTAAAAATTAAGATTCATCAGAATATTAAAATAGGAAAACTGAAATTTTCACAGGTTAAAACTAATTTTTTATAAAATGTAAAAAGTCACCACCCTTCCATTTTTCTGCACAGTTTGGGAAAAAAAAGATTTGATAAAATCTAAATGCTGTCAGGAATAGGTATTGACAACTCCAAACTAAACTTTACTAGAATTTTAATTTTACATATGGTCTTAAGAGAAAGATTCCTCAATTGTACTTTAGTTTGAATTGTTGTACCTCTTTATGGGATGTCATGGCTCCTAAGGTGCATCAGGAGACCTATCTTCACCTGGCTGAGTATTTGTCAACAGATTGAATGCATACACAAGAAGCTCATAACTAATTTCTGGAAAGCTGCTAAGGAAGACTTTTTGACTGAGAAGTGTCCACTCAGATGCAGGGAGTGAGATTTGTCATGTATGCCATGAGTGGAGTGATCAAGTGAATTTCTTTGTCTTCAAGTCCAGTTCCATCTGCAGCAATGCTGTACTGCCACTGAAGAAGGTTTGTGTTCACTCAGCATTATGAGAATTGCAATATGGATGAAACAATGTGATAGGACTTTGCAGAATTGGATCTACAGTGCACAGCATAAATTGTTACCAAATGTAAAATGAATTCAATTTCTAAAGTTTTGGTCATTACATTGTTGTTTATGGTTTGCTACTCACTCAACAATGTATACTATTTATTTATTTTTTTTTTTTTTCAAAGGGTTTTAATATTTACTGTCAACAATGTGTACAGAAGTTAAGAGAAAATATAGAAAAATTAACTGATTTTGCTTATTTCACTTTTTTTTTTTTTTTTTACATAAATCATTGAGGATAAAAGAAAATGTGAATATCATTGTTTTCATCCACTGTCCCTCAAATTGTACATCTGGAATTTATATAGCATTATATCTGTAGTTATAGTGTTAATGTGACATTTTGGTGACATGGACAATATTCAGGTGACTAACTAGGTTAAAAGATAGGACAAATGAAAAACCAGCCCTCTCCATATTAGCCTTATACCATATTTGCTGCATTTTTTTTTCTACAGTAATAAATATTGTCTTTAAAAAAAAAAAAAAAATCTGTGACAGAAATAACCTCCCACATAATAATGTTAAGACCTTTAGTGGCAATGGTGTCTTCATTAGTCTTATCATCTGTTGCACCCTATATTACGTTTTGCCAAGTTTTAAACAAAGGTTGGTCTGTTTACAAAGCAAATGATTGTCAACTTTTATCTATTGATACTGAAGTTTAAATATAGTCCGTTTTATCCTTAAAAAAAAAAAAAAAAACAAAACAAACAGACAAGGACCTTACTTATAAATATTGCTTTTGTAATTAATCTGTATTGAAAAGAAAAAAATATCTTACAATATTCAGCATAAAGAACAGGTTTCCTGTGCCTTCTGGGTTTCAAATAAACAACAATTCCTGGATTTTTTCGAGTAAAGTCAAGTAAGTGGTTTTCAATGAATTCCCTAGAAAAAAGAAAAAAACATTTCAATAAATACTGGGAAACTTTTCCTTATGAAAACATATAGGATTTGATATACATCAGGCGACTAAAAAACAACTGAATAAAAGAAAACATTTCATATATGACTCGAGATTAAGTGTCCAAATGATATAGCTAGAATACAATAAAGGATCAGATATTCTAAATGTACATTAATATACCTGATATCCTCCTTGAGTGCTAAGATTGTACAGGTTGAGGCATGGTTGATTGGTGGCCCTGAACAGAGATTTGTGAACCTTGCTATTTTATCAACATTTTCTTGAAACAAGCAAACAATATATGTAAGGCAAAGCAATATGGCAAAAAGTTCAAACTGAAAATTGGAGTTGACACACAAGAGCAAGTTTGGACAAGCGAACATAGGATTCTGACTTCAGTACAAGACAGATCCGAACTGAGTCAGATGAAACTGTGAACTGGCCTATTTTATTGGCTAGGAAGAAATCCCAGCATGTGTTTGTGTGCTTCTGCCTATAAAATGGGGGGGGGGTGCAGTCATTCCTAGATAGATCAAAATCAACAAACCATAATCCAACCCCTCTCTAATTGGAAAAAAGTAAAGTACCCAGATCAGGTGCATCTCTGTGATAGGGCACATATCTGCACCATACTTTCACAACAATAAATTTTATTTTAAGTTGCTCTACAAATGCTTCTGTTACCATGTTACTCAGTACTACTGGCCACATGGTTGGGTCATTGATGAATAAAATGGTTTCTAGTGAAGAGGGTGGTTAGATACTCAGCAGAATTAAAAACAAAACTCATCTAGCACCATGGGGTAGATTGGGTTGCATAGCTATGTATACAGTCAGTGTAGTGACAATACAGCATTACTGGGCAGAGGGTCTTCCTAAACTGAATACTACTGAGATAACACTAATAGGCATTCTGATCCTTCAATATGGGGCTTGACCTGGGTTGTAATTGTGCAAGACATGATACACATAAATGAATACTTTTCAGTTTTTTTTAATCCAGATTTGTGTAGGAAAATGATCAGGTGCTCAGCTGACCCCCATGACCATACTCTAGTGATGGGTCTGGTGATAAACTTTATTGCAGTTTGTATCTTTTTCAGACATGAAGCAATAAACATGTCCAAAACATAACATACAAAACCAGCTACAGACGTTTTATGCTCTTCTGAGGTTGAAACAAGTCCAATTGTCAAGTCATATATCTGGTAGGGGTGTTAGCCACCGCTCGGGTACTTCAAGGTCATTATTACTTGTTATTATTCTGATGTTTCACTTTCTTAGTTACTATATTAAAAACATAAAAAAAATTTGCCTGAAAATGAAATGTTTTTTCCCCAAAATAATTGGCAGGGATTAAATAGTAAGGGTGCACTGGTATGAATGTCATTAGTATTAACAAAAAAAAATTTCCAATCAAAATTATATTCTTGAAATTTCATAAAATTAAGTGGAGAAAAAAAAAATTCAAAAATAATTTCATAAGTCCTGAAAATCTCATTAAAAACCGACATTTTATTTTTCCAAACCATTACAGGAAAAAGGGAGCTAAAATTCCCATAGTACTCTTTGGCCCATCTGCTGACAAAAAAGAAAAGCTTAATC